CTCAATATTCGGGTACAAATCTTCAGCCTGTAAATAATCAAAAATCTAAACCTTTCCCTGCACAGGGCTCAGAACCTTTAAAATAAATAACCAACAGTGTATCTAAACCTAAAAACAAACATGTTTAAAATACTGCAGCTTACCAGTTTTTAGATGTGGTGACTGCGCTAGTTTTCACTTTTCAGGCTAAGAACATTTTCAGCAATCACAGATGCCGTGACCTGGTCATTTCCTGTGAGCTGACCAAAAAGCACAAACAGCTTTATTTGTATTTGTGTAAACTACTAGTCCCATCAATCTGCCTTGCAAGGGCCTGTGTTGATGGCTTTTGTATCCCCAAATTTGTAGAGGAAAATACATTTATAAATATCTTGGGAGGCAAAAAGGAAAAAGTTCCACTTTTATACCAAAAAATAAAAAAAAATGTGTGTATATATATTAATGTGTGTGTATATATGTATACACACACACATATATATTTTTTATTATAAATATGTGCACTGCATTTCTTTAAAAAATCTGCAAGAGGTGGAAGTCAAATGTAAAGGCTCTGCATAGCTAAAGGGACGCAAATAGTGCTTATTTTATTGAAAACACTAAGATTGCTTAAGCTGGCCATAGACTGTTATATTTTCTTTGTTAAACCCACAGACTGAGCAAATAAAATGTAGTAGATTCCTCCATCAACACTTACGAGCGTGGATGGAGGCATCCTCCTCTGTTTTCACTGTATTTGGACAGCGGTTCTTGGGTGCTTGCAGCTGATTGGCTGCAAGATCCGTTCGACCAAAGATTTTCAAACCTGCTCCTTCGCTCTCCTGATTGAGGGAATGCCAGATGGAAGGGTGCCAGCAGTGGAACCCGCTGTGCCAATTTAGGACTGTTTAAGAACCAGCCAAAATGTGTATGGCCAGCATTAAGTAATTATTATAAAAGGCAGATCCTGCTACTCCCCCAGTCAGTTTGAGAAAGAAGAAGGTAAGACAAATCAGTAAATTTTTAGACTAGAGAAGGGTAAGAATATGCTACATAAATGCTATAATCCTGCAACGCATGGTGTTTATAGACTGTTCATGGTCCAGGCAATTACACTGCGTCTCCCTAAGATCTTTTTTATCTTAGTCTTTATGTACTTATTAGAGGCTCAGGCAGAAGAGAGTGGGACATGAAGGAAAGAGAAAGATTCTGAATGTAAAATGATTGCACGGCATCAGATTAAGAGGAAAGAGGAGTCATGCCCTCCATCTGCCTGCCACCCCATAACTTCACCCTAGTTCCCAAAGACAGAAGTTTATAACAGGCATATACAATGGCTTCAAAATCTGGCAGCACCATCTACAGTATATCAAAGGCGGAACACGTACGATTTAAGAAGTAGAGGGAGGCTAAGTGCTAAGCTTTACTACCTAGCCAGAAGAACAAACTCAATGCCTAATGCACAATGTCTAAAACATGATGTTTATGGCATGAAATCTCCCACACTGCGTCTTTTGTGCTTGCTTTCTTTCTACCGACTAGCGGGAAATTTACTTCACCCTGGCTGCAACTATTTTCATAGTACCAGTTCTCTGCATGCGTCCTAGCTGATTAAGTCACTTGTGTTCACTTTGAACATGTCTTTTGAAGCGACTTTAGTATCCGAGAACATGGCAAACAAATAAAGCCTTTCTGTCACATCTCTGGAAGTACAGCGTTAAGTGAAGGTGAGGCAAGAGGGTGCTCAGGGCAAAGTGCTTCCATAACAAACACGCAGCAGGTTAGTCTTGCAGAATAAGAAACTTCTGTGCTGTAATCTATAATGGAAGCAGCTCCTCTTCATAAAACAATCTACTCTAGCTAAGCTGCAGGCAATGGCTTTGATTCGGAACCTTTAGGGCCGCCATCAACACGAATATATTACAAGAGTGCTAACTAAATTAAATAGACAAAAGTTTACGGTTATATCCCAGTCCTGAACATTCCTCTGAAAGCACAATACACTCACGGGTATCCTATAAACCTGGGATTTTCATTCATGGCACAAATCAGATTCTTGATTTTACGTCAACGCTTGCATAATAAAAAAGGCCAACTTGGATCTGACTGGTTTCTATGCAGAAGTCATTCATAATGCATGGAGCAAATAACTAGAGTTATTGCATATAGCAACTGATTTTAAAGATATATCTTTGCAGATAAAATGTGGTAAGTAACGCTGAATAAGCAGGATATATGAATCTCATTGGAAAGTCTGTAAAATTATAATAATTTAAGATTAAATGTTCGGTTTTGTTGCATAAACACAATTGAGACAGGTTCTCTTTAAAAAACGTATGCTCTGGATGCCATCTAATGTCTATAGACAGACTGTCTGCACAACTGCCAAACTATCTCATTCTTGAATGATAAGTGCTTAAACAGCAGTCTCAGTCTTAGGCTGGGTTCACACCTAGGCGTATTTAATATGTGCGTTTGTCGCGTGTTTCGTGTTGGACGCGTGACTTCGTGCGACAAAAGCGCGTTTCTGAGGGCTACTTGGCTGTATCCCAATGGAAACGCGCAACAAAAACGCCCAAAAGAAGCTCCTGAACTTCTTTGGGCGTAGGACGTTTTGTAGCGCGTTCATAAGGCCTGTAATACGCCCAGGTGTGAACCATACCACTAGGAAATAATGGGATTTCGGTGTTTGAGCGTTTTGCAGAGCGTTCGAACGCGCTACAAAACGCCCAGGTGTGAACCGGGCCTTAGAGGCACAAAAGGATTCCATGTAGACAATCAGGCTTTTTTATGGATCATCAAGTGTAGGTGGTGATCCACTAACATCTATTGTACAGATATTCACAATATGGATATGATAAAACTTCCACTATATCTCAAACATTGCGCAGTCACTGATCTGCACCTTGTACACTGTGTATGCTGAGCACTTTCTAACATACTAAGTGAATCGACTTGAAGCCATGTTTAAATACTGTATTGAAGCCATTTGTTGCAGTAACACAAATCATTGGATCCCATATTCAACCCTTATTTTGTCTGACTGGAAGAGGCCTGGAGAGAGAATTCAGTTATCCTTTAAGCCTGCAAGCATTGAATAAAACAAGTATAATTATTCTAGAGCAAGTCATGAAGCTTAGAAAACTTCACACAAGTTACAAGATTGTATAGAGCACTATTTTTCGATTTAATCCTACTAATATTGTAGAATGAAAATATTTCACTTACTCTTCATGTCGCAAGTCATTGACTGTTCTGTCTAGTGAGATCATGTCACTTGCAACCATGTTAAATCCAAATTCTTTAATGCTGGATTGAACGGACTCCTTGTATTCAGAGCCAAGCACGAATGGCTTTCCTCCCTCTCCAGGACCACCAACAACACCCTGGGGTTCTGGTTCTTTGGGTTCAAAATTCCCCAGGATTCCAGCACGAAAAATGGGATCTGGATACGCATGCTTCTGTGGTTTAAAAGTGACAAACTGTCGTTGTGGCACATTCTGCTGGTTGTTCGGCTTCACTTCCATACGATTATGATCCTTCTGAACCTTATTCTTTCTTCTGATGGAATCAAGGTCTACCTCCACACCCTCGACACGAGGCCATGGCACCACGGGTTGGAAGTCATGTTTGGAGTCTATATTTTTTTCTATTTTACCAGGCTGAGGGAGGTTGGCATTTTCTTCCTGTAAAAAGGTGAAAAAAATACAAAAAGTCAATTTATAAGAATCGAACTCCTATCAGTAATACTTCTCTTATACCTTTATACCATATAACTATGCAACGAAAAGAAGCATTAATCATTTTCATATATTTTGTATTGTGGGGTTAATAAATGTGATGATAAATATTACCATATCATTTTTTTTTGATTCCTTTTCACATTTTTATGTACAATAAGCTGTCCAGCAAAAGTCACAATGCCTCAAATTATAAGGGCCCATTCATGCCTATGTGTATGTTTTTGTATGCTGCATACATAAGAAGCCCCCTATGTGATAGCCAATTTACACAGACAGGTCCCCTTCATGGAGACATCAGGGGTCTCTAGGACCCCTGTCATCTACGAACCCCCAAAGAAGCAGAGATCTGCTTCAACAGCTTATCTCCAGCTACAGAAGCCGGAGAATGACAGCTGAATGTGGAAGTGATGTAATATACATCACTCCTGCATCCAGAGACTGGGGAGGAGATCAGAGGGAGATTATGTGATGATCTCCGGTGACCGAGCAGCCCTGCGGGTGCCGAGCCCACACCGGACGCAGCGGGGATCAGAATCGGCAGCGGCGCAGGGATGGCACACACCCGCATGCAATATACCAGCGTTCCAGCGGCTCTACAGCTGGACTGTTTACAATTTAAGCAGTTTTCCCGCTCGCTCGCGCAACCTAGCTGTGCACACGAGCACGACGGGCGGGGACGTTTAAAATTGCCCGCTTACATCCAAGAAGCTCCCAGCCGGTTGTTTAATTACAACGGCCGGCAGAGAAGCAGTTAAATATACATAATCCAATGATATTATTTACAGCACACTACCATCCTCTTCTACTCAATGTAAATTATTTGTAAACCCTATTGTTCGTTAAAGGAGAACTTTGGGGTCAGTGTTTTTCCCCATAGTTCTCCGTAGGGTAACGGGAGGACACAAACTAGCGTCCTCCCGTTACCCTAAGCTAGCTCGCGGTATACTGAGACGCCGCAGCGGATCCCGACCTGGACGTCGGGATCCGCCCAGCTGCGTGAGTGAGGACTGTCATGCCATCAGACACTTGACGACTGTTAAAAATTGCGTTTGATTCTCATTTTGATTCAACATTCGATTTTTGAATGACCGGAGTTTTCTAAAGGAAAACCACATTAACTGGTAGAATTCCAATATGCTCCTTCAACTTTTATTGTCACTGCGATTGAAACTGATCATTGATTTGACCCCATCATCTTTTAGAAAGTTAGAGGAACGAAATTCTAACTGTGTATACCCTACTTTTCAGTGACTGCAAATAACTGCAGACAAGCTAAATGTAAACAAAGCAGAGTTTATAAGTTTATGGCTTGTGATGCCAGTTCTCAAATCACGGGGGTAGAAAAGGCAGACATATGAGGATATACTTGCAAAACTACCACAAACACTAAACAGAAGGGGTTGTTCTGATTTTGAATGATGTAATGTGACCAATTTGGGCTTAAATACTTCTCAGTAGTGGAGTTTTTGATTTTTTTCTAGGTGCTAGTAGAAGAAAAAATACACCAAACACAGTGGCGTGCTCTGTTATAATTCACTACAAGTAGTAAATCTTCTATGCATGGTATGATTGATTATCATACCAGAACTTTGTGCCGTAGCTGCAGGTACTTTATTTGAAGTATGTACACAGGGACATATAGACCCCTAATTCATCAAGCAGCAAGAACACTTAAGGTGTGCTAAAGTGGCCTCTGGAGCAATATCACATCTAACACCCCTCAAGTGCTTTATGAATCAGACCTGTACACACTCATAGGTTTTCTTTCAGTGGTAATGACTACAATTAATGACATCAGCAAATAAAGTAATAGCTTATCGACCATTAATTCCCCCTACTGACAAATGACAGCCAGTGCAACAAATGACAAAGCGTGCACAGACACACAATATTCACATCTGTTATGGGTCCTGATAGCATAACAAGCAACACGATTACTTCTTGCAAAACCAGTGATCAGTCGCAGGCGGATAGTAGAAATCATCAATTGTGCGCTGGTAATGTCTAAGAAGCTAGTGAAGCAAAACCCTAAATAGTTTCTAGCAAAACTGTGGGAGTGGGACTGGGATATTCTGTTCTATGTTTAGCATCAGGCAGCAGATGGCATTCACAGTACATTTACATTAGACAATGTAGAAAGGTCAAGTATATTGCAAGGAAAGTGTGCTGTAATGCATGTCATTTTAAAAGGGAGCACTGAAAATCCTAATGTACGGAATAAAGGCCAGAGTTGTCCATGTGGATGGCTTTAGGCTTGACACATGTCAGCAAAAAACTCAGGTGCTACTTAGCTTTGCTAAAAGCCTCCACAGATCCAGACATATAACCTATTGCATTTTGCTGCCCTTTATGCTAAAGATTGCCAAGCAATTTCCTGATGTCACGGTTTAGCCAGCTACACAAATCAAAAGCATTTTTGAAAAGGTCAGCGCCACCAAAAGAAACCCCAAATATTTCAGTTTTACATTGTTTCTGGCTTTTTATATCTCTGATGGATTCCAGAGGAGAGATATTAGCACCAGAATTCCCTATTTCTTCCAACTGCTGAGGCCACTACAAATCCAAAATGATGGTGTCACACTCCTCTAGTAGATTCAGCAAGTTCAAACGCATGCAAAATGGACCTGCTTAGCTCCTATCAGTCTATTTGCATGTTTTGCGTAAAAACTTCCGACAGCATACAAGCACACTCGCAACAAAATGCTGTTGAACCATACTAGGAGATCACACTTAAAAGGAAACCAGTGCTGAGACAATGGAGGGTGCAATTGCTGATCTCTTCTTCTGACAATGATAGTTGTCTGGCTGTCATGCGGTTTCACTGTTTTCAACACTTTCTGAAGCAAGAATCTGGAACAAGTAGGCAGATATGGCGTTCTGACATCTCTCTGGCCTTCCTAATCCGCCTTTTTGTTATGGCTCTGGGGCCAGAGACAGACACCTAGCTTTCTTGACAGGAGGTCAGCATTAGCAACACTTGTATTTCTTGCAGTACAGGTTTCCTTTAGGGCTGGATTCACATAATAGAGGTATTTAAACTTTGCACTTTAGTATGCATCTGCAAAGCAAGTTCTACAGCACGCCACTGCATTATAAGACACGTTTTGCTAATTTCCTGTGCATTCAAGAGCAACAGAATGAGAATTTAACATTCAAAATAAAACGCAGTGCAGTTATGTCACTATAGGTGAATTGGGCTTAAGCGCTTGTTCACACCATGTCCGGATCATGTCCAGACCGGAGGTTTGTTCCCGGACCAAAAAAACATCCTAATGTATCCCTGTGGTATTTCTGGGCTCTGTTCACACCAGCAAAGTCTGCTCCGGACCAGACGGGAAAGAAATACGGCTGGTTTCATTTTCTCTGGTCTGGAATGCACTGGAACGCATGGAAGTGTATCAAAAATGCATGCAAACTCACTGGACTGCACCTGAAAACCCATTTTTAGCTAGAAAAAAAAAAAGCATCAAAATTGCTGTAAAAATCAAGGTAAAATGCACTGCACTGTGTTTGTGGTTTGCTCCAGACATGGTGTGAACATGAAACAAAGAGCCAACAAGCACAACTGAAGAATTATGCATCTGCGAACATCAGATTGTGCCTCTATATAACCATGTCATTTAACCCATAGACTTCCACTATTTTACACAACCTAAAAAATATACACATGTACTACTACCAGAATAGCCCAAAATCCCTGCTATGTAGTAGTTGGAATACGTGGCTTCATGAACATGTATGAAATGCAGGAAGTACTGTCAGGAATTATATAGTTTAGCTATAAGGGTAACAATCTTACGGATAGCAGAGGGCTAGTTGTGGTTTATGGTGTAGGACCAACAAAAACACATACATCACCAACTTATACAACCTACATTTCCAATGGTCTTGCTTCAAGAGTTACATGTCTGATTTGGCAACCAAGGTAACTATGCATACAATAAGAAAAGCATGGAAGGTAAACAGTTATAGACTATGCATGGTACTAGTATGGTGTATGTGGTTAAACTATAGGACACTGTGACCTGTTAGATTGGAAACCTTATAGGAATCTCTGTCTCTTTGTTGATGTTGTGTCTTTCTTTCAACAATCCAGTATCACATTCACAGATAATACAGTATAGTGGTTGTAAAATATTTATAGGATATTTTGATGGTGGCAACAACCAAAAAGCCTTGTGTCAAATCAGAGCCAGGCCCCTAAAGGCAACCTAGGCAGGATCTACTGGAAGGTCAGGTGGCCTACCTACGACTCCTACAGTAAAGCAGGGGAAAGTGCAATTGTTTAAGAGAGTACACCTGCTCCACAAGAGGGGGATGCAATTGTACGTGGTTGATGCCCGAAGGGAAAGGGCAACGCCAATACAGATGATGGCACGGCTTGGGCCTATAGCAATACTTTTCAATGTCATATGTAGCGATGGGGTGGCCAAAGCTCCTACCTTGATCTGTCCGTGTCCACCATATCATGCACTTTTGCAATAAAAATGTGGTCTTGTCTAATTTTACTCCACATATTCAAAAGACAGAACATACTACAACTAGAACAAGCCTTTGTAATAATACATTGTACTCTTCATAAAAACATTCTAAGCTCACTTTTAAAAATGGTAATTAGTGATCCTGTAAAATGTAAATTATATAAATGTTGGAAGAAAAGAATATAAGACAATGATGCCTTTAATGTGCGGTGATCAATATCCCTACGGTAAGCATCATACAGGCATCTGGAGCGGTAGCTTAGTAATGTACATGAACTAGGCCTGGGGGGAATTGTAGTATCATGGAATAGTTAATAGCTCAGACAATGACCCTTGCACAGAGTGTGTTTGATCGACAGGTCCCTGTGTGGAATTGTGATACTGAGCTCTTAAGTATTCATTTAAACACACCCAACTGTGCAGTCATGAGGAAATGTTTGAACAACTTGAGTATGGTTAAGC